CAATATCACTTTTTTATTTGTGAAAGATTTTGTGTTTTCAATAATAGTGATTTCATAGTTTTTATTTCACTTTTTTTTGCAGTTCAAGTTTTTCATTTGTGTAAAATATCGTGTTTTCCTTCACAAAGTTTCAACTGGTTTAATTCCCTTTTTCACATTTTCATGCATTCATTTGTGAAAGTTATTGCGTCTTTGTTAGCGATAATAAAACTGCCATAAGTTTTGCTATCGACTTTTNTGGTTTTTATTTAATTTTTCATAGTATCATTTTTTTTGTCAACTGTGAATCTTGTAATTTTACAAATGACGATTCGATTAATTTTATTCCATTTTTCGCAATTTTCGTCTTTTTTTTTCCTGGGTGAAAGATCTTGCGTTTTTACAAATGAAGTTTTCATTGGTTTAATTCCATTTCTCGTGATTTTCGTCTTTTTTATTTGTGAAAGATACTTGTATTTTCACTTATAAGGGTTTGATGGTTTTCATTCCATTTTTCGCAATATCACTTTTTTATTTGTGAAACATTTTGTGCTTTCTATAATAGTGATTTCATGGTTTTCATTTCACTTTTTTTGCAGTTGAAGTTTTCTTATTTGTGAATAATGTGTTTTCATTCACAAAGTTTCCACTGGTTTAATTCCCTTTTTCATGCACTCATTTGTGAAAGTTATTGTGTCTTTGTTAGTGATAATAAAACTGCCATAAGTTTTGCTATCGACTTTTTATTTACAATGAATGTAAGGGGCTTGATATTATTTTCTAAATGAATGATTTTTTAATGAAACTAAAAGATAAATACTATTAAACTTAAATAATTTGTATTATTTAATTCTTTAATGTAATTAAATCTTAAATTCACAAACTAGTTAAACTGTTAACACTATTAAACGCCTAAATTTTGTCTTCTTTTTTGATAATTATCTCTTAACATTTCAAGGAGGAATTAAATGAGCTGTAAATCACAATATTACTTTTCTGTACATTTAAATTAGATTTTCTTAAATGATTCTAAAAATAGTTGTCTGATCTTTAAAAAAAATTATTTGTTTTGAAAGCCAATTTTCTTCACTAGGTTCTCAATTATATGTTACTTTATTTTACCAGAATACGTCCGAAATATATATATGAATCAGACAACATAATAGATCTGTACCTGGAAAATGTATAATGATAAGGGACGAGAACGTTTCTGACATTCTTAACAGATATTTAACCTCTTGTGTATCAATTGCTTTTAAAGGTTGTTTCTCTGGAGAAAAATAAATGCCATTATTTGAAGTGCAAATATTTTCTCGGCAAATTTAAGCTTATAACTGCATGCTTCTAACCTCTTAAAATTGTTTCCATTTCTATTAAAGCTTGTCATTTTTAACTAACAAGTTAACTAATTTAATTAAATTTATGCAGCTAATTGATCTAAAGAGCGGAATGTTTATACGTAGGTGTGTATGCAACACAGAAAAATATTTCAAGAGTTTTCCTACTAATATTAGAAAAAATAAAAAGACGCGTTTTTCAATCGATGCATGTTTTTAACGCCATGCTACGGCAAAACGCTCAACTACTAGATTGATATATCAATGAGTTTATAATTTTCTTTAATTATTTTTAATTGAATTAATGAATTTCTTTGTAATCGTTTTTTTTAGTTCTGTAAACTGCTTAGTTAGTTTTTTAGGAATGTCGTATTTTTTTATATAAGAAAGTATTTTTGCAAAAGTATTATTATTATTAACAGAAATAAAAATATTCTGTCAAGTAAATAACGTCAATTTTTCATCATTTATCTTATTTTTATCTTTACTACGTCATAAACTATATGTCTAATTTTCAAAAATGTTTCTTAATATTTCGGAAACCCATGTGGGACTAGGTTACCAAAAATGTAAACCGTCATCTGTCGAAAGGAACCTCGAGATAGAATTGAGTTAACATGTCTTATATACTAGTGAATATGAATTTTGTAGTTGTAGTGGTAGCGTGGTAGCTACGCTAAATTGCTTCCCCACCAGAATTTTACCTGTAATAGAATTCGATGAATGAATTCCATTAGCTGTCATTGCTGATTCATTGCTGTTTTGAGAAAAGTCCGGTGGGCTGTATTTAGATCACCGTCATTTGAGTGTTGGTCGTGAGAGCTGTATTAGGAACACAGTTTTGTACGTGGTCGCTAATTTTAATTCTGTTTTGAGTGCTCTAGCTAATTTGAAAGTCATTTAAATTTTGACAGCAAGAATCCATCGACACAAACATTCATCCATCGAGATTCCATCGGAAAGATTTGATTAAGTTAACGAAAAATTAATAAAATAAAATAGTTATTTGTATTAAGATAAAAATATTTATTTAAGTATATATTGAAAAAATATGTTGATAAAAATATGTTGATAAAAAATATGTTGATAAAAACAATAAAAAAAACTTTTACCGACTAATTTTTTGCAAAGTTACTAATATTTTTGCAATGTTACTAATAAATTTTAGTAAAACAAATAAATTCGTGATATAAATCAAAAATTGTCAAATAAATTCGTAATATATAAATTCGTAAAAAAAACCGCTTTCGACAAAATGCAAAAATAGAGATCTATCGACAAAGACTACTCACTCACTTCTGCCTAGCTTATGCTCTCTCTGGTTATTTAAGTTTTCGTTTTTAAAAGTGCTATATTTTGAGCCATCTCAGCCATTGTGCTATATTTTGAACCAAAAACAATTTACCTTCTAATTAGTCACCATAGCAACCACAAAACTCTTCTCGTTACCATCTATAAACTGATATATAATAAATAAATTATTTAACAAAAAATACGATGCGCATAAGCACATAATATTTTACACTCTGGTTATTTCAGTTTCCGTTTTTAGAAGCGCTATATATTGAGCCACCCAATCTAGATTTGGCATATGACATTTTTAGCGCAATCATTGGTCGATTTTCTAGCGTTGCCATTCGGGTAGTTGTAATGAGGCTTTTTTTTGTCGCCGTGTAAGAGAAATATATATATAAATGATTATTTATATTAAGATAAAAATATTTATTCAAGTAATAAAATTTTTTTTGACAAAAACAATAATTAAACGATTAATTTTTTACGAAGTTATTAATAATTTACCAATTTCATTAAAATGCTATTCATTTCAGTTTAATTTTTAATGAATTTTTTACTCAAGCATAGCATGATACTAAAAATTAAAATACCACTAAAAATCCCAATTCAGACGAAGAAAGTGAGATTAAGGAAAAACGTTGCCGAGTGTGGTAACTATTCCATTATCTTTTTCTTTTGCAACCCCACTGTTTTGGACAATTTTGAAGCCATTATCGTTATTCTCTAACTTAAAGTTAGATATAAGGAACTCTAATTCAGGTTAAGAAAATAAGAAAGCGAAGGAGAAACGGAGAATCGGAAGAAAGTAAATATATACTCCTATTTTTTTTTTTTTTTTTTTTTTTTTTTTTTTTTTTTTTAATAAACGTCGTTGAACAGCCGACCCAATTTTTGGGTTTACGACTACTAATGTTCAACTTCGTAGCCTTGCAAGTTTGAACCAATCCAGAAGACAAGGAAACTACTGGATCAGTACCCCTAGAGGTATTGATTTGTTATGGGAACACGGAACATGGAGGCTTTACAGGTTTAACGTGCATCAGTCACCATTTACGACACGGAGAGTCTTCGGCCGGCAGAGATCGAACCCACGACCTCTTGGACATGGGCTCAGTGCCCTACCAACCAGGCTATCCAGGCACACATTCCTTATTTGGGGTATTGTAGAAAAGAAATAAATGTATATTTTAGTATAGTTAATAGAGAGATTTTGTAAATTTGTGTTAGCTTCCGTACGCTCCCGTACGTAAGATTTCAAGAATTGCGCATGCGCAATGGAAGTGCGCATGAATCAATTCTGGTAAAAAAATATGAAATTTACATAAGGGAAAATATGAGGTAAGAGAAAATTAGAGATTCCGTTAGTAAAAAGCGCTAACTTAGTGGAATATCATTTTAACTTGGACCGCAGAATCAAACCAAACATTAATAACGGACGTAGATTATCTCTTTAAAACTGTGGCTGTTATTATGAATATTAAAAAAATATTATAGAACTTCTATTGATTATTTAATTTCTATTAAATAAATTGTGTAGTTAACAAAAGATAATTCATAATTTCAAAATTGCGAAAAATATATCATGTTTCGTATGGAAATAGTGCAATTAGACAACTATAATGTTAAACAAAAACCAATATAATTATTTATTTTTTGAATTAATCAATTGTTGTGAGATCATACGATTCATTTCTAAATTTCATTGATACATTCCTCCAAATTCCCATTCTATGTCCATGTTTTTAGTTCGAAGGTAGGCTTAAACAGAAAACAACATTTCAGAGCTATAAGCAGCAGCGTAAATCACGCCAACTTAACGTAAAGATGCTAAATCTAAAATATTAGCGAGCATGCGCAGTTTCTTGCGTACGGGAGCAGCCGGAAACGAAATTTCCCTATCGGAATTAAATTAAACGGAACCCTAAATTAACGGAAAAGTGCGAAATTTCCCTAATATTTATTATTAAAATAAGTATTATGAAATGAATAAATTAAAATAAATAAATTAAAATAAATATTATGAGATGAAGTTCTATGAACGTGCTATGCTTTTACTAATAACGTAGAACCACCGAGAAAGGATTAAAATGAAAATGAAATAATTTTAATTCAGTTAACTGTGTTGGTGTCTTTTAGTTTTGTTAAAGACTGTGGGAATGGTGATTAATTGCTAAATTTTTCTATAAATTAGCAATTAATCAACACTGTACTCTACAACACTGTACACTATTAATCAGAACGGGTATTAAGCTGGTGTTTGTACAAAATTTTCACTGCAGTTTCTTCAGATTGTAGTGAAAAAGGAAAGCAAATGGATACAATAATAAAACCTTTGGTCATTTCAGATTTGAAATTAAGAAAAAATTATAATGCATAAATTAAACTTACCGATGCTTGTCTGAACAGAATAGGTGATATTGAATCCTCTTTTAGCGCCAAAGTCATCAGTTTTCAATATAAGTAGGAACGCGAATGAATTGGATACGTAGTCGTTTGGCAAATTGTTTCCACAATGCATCTTCACTAAAACACTAGCGTCATTTGAATCAAAATCATGGATACTCACGGAATCACCCCCGCAACCATCTGTGATGTCTACATCAAGGGTATTAAAATGAATTCGAACGTGCTGCAAGGGAAATATTCTCAATGTGTAAATCTGACTGGTTACTAGTTTAAAAAAAAAACGTTTTAAAAAACTTATCAATGTTAATAAAAAATTTTAATAATTTTTTAAGAGAATAAGAACTAAATCTGATGGTAATTTAAATTGATTATGTTACATTGGCCAGATAATTAAAAAATGCCTTGAGAAACTTATTAATTTAAGTAAAACATTGTATTTTTAAAAAAATTAAAACAATACGTTAGTAATTTTAATGACTAAGGATCAGTATCAGGAATGTCAGGATCAGTATCCGAAACCCTGTCACGCTCAGTCTTTAGAACTGAGATCATAGCTATTGGAACTGCCCTTAATTATGCCCAGACAACTGATAATAATTTGGATGTTGACCGATAGTAGGAGTGCTATTCAGTATTTCAAGAACTGGCCAGAAATATTTGATATTCCTGTCCGGGAGATTATGAAACTTCCATCTGTGATAGGCCTGAAGACACCAATAAGCCTCCAATGGATCCAAACGCATGTCGGGGTACATGGCAATGAGACAGCCGATGTGCTCGATAAGAATGACTGTGATCAGTTCCCCTATGGACTGTTTGAACCGTCTTACTCCCACTGAGATCCACTCCCTGGGAAAACATCTTTTGCTTCCAGTGTGGCGCCGTACTCCATCCCATCAGTGGTGTGCTGGCAACCGCGCTGGCCTATCATTAACATGCTGCGGCCCTCGGCCTTTCCAATCGGCCATGACCAGATTTGGTAGTGGCCATCTTAAGTGTTTAAGGTTTCAAAATGGGGAGAAGACTTTCCCTCCTTGTTCCTGCTCACAACCTTCTAGTCCTGATCACCTTCTTTTTTGCCTTAGCGCTTCTTTTAAGCAGCTGCTGGTTGATCGGAACTTTCTGCAGATATATGGGGAACTGTAGAACGGGGCCTTCTGGACCTGGTCTAGGCTTTACTTCACCAGGGGGATGTGTAACAACAACAATGACTAAGCAACTTTCCGTAGTTTAATTTTTTTTAGATAAAGTTTTCATTAGTCGGTAAGTGTGCAAAATAGAGTAACATTTGTTTAACTTTTTAACGTTCTTTGACTAAACCTTAATGAATCGAGGGCAAAACCCTGAAAGCAAAATGTTCTTTGTTTTATGTAAAATATTGGCTTCTAAGAAATTTTTTTTTTGGATGAGTAGCAATTTAGTTGGTGAGCAAAGCTAGCGGGTAGCAAAGCCTCATAGTTTGTTTAAATATTATTTACAAACAGCGGTGGGTAAAATCATTGTAAATCAAATTTATGAAATCAAAGCTGAAATAATGAAGCATAACATTTACTGCAACATCAAATTATCTAGAAAAATCTCCAGTTTAAATTGCTTAAAAATTTAATACCTCCAAATTTAATATTAAACTAAATGAATAAAAATAATTAGAATTACTTAACCATTAAAATAAAATAATTATTGCAGCAAAAGCATGTGATTAGGCACAAATTTTTCCTTTTGAAATGCTTCGTTTTAGTTTAAAATATTTCAATAGATGGCGCTGCAAGTAATGAAATAGTAAATCAAGGATCATATAATTGTTATCATAATTCTATTAAAGAATGAAAATTATGTTTTGCTGAACAAAAACCAGCATTTTTGGTGCTAAAATTTAATATCTTCTTACACAAATTTATATATTTTTACACAAATGTATATATTCTAACACAAGCTCTTTTTTTTCTTAATTTTTTAGCTTTCAAATTTTTTTTTTCAAACTGCCAGTCTAATTTAGAGTATTCGTGGCAAAGCTTTAATGCCTGTTAAATTATTCCACAATTTCTAGAACTTACGTTTCAAATATATTTCTTAATGATTAACCTTATATGTTTAACTTTCCTGCTTGCGATCTTTCTCAACTCAACAGCCTATACCGCTTAGTCAAAACTTTTCTCCTAATCGCATCATAAATGAGGAATTTTTGAATCAAATTTCTAAAATTTACTTATTTGGATCTGAATAAGTATTAGAATATTTTATTAGCTCACAAAGTTGAACATTACTCACTCTTAAAATAAATATGATTAACAACATGATAGTAGGTTTTAGGTGTTTAGGAGGTCTTATGAAGGTCAGAAACAGAAGCGATCTCTGACCACTAATATGAACCAGCATGCATCCATGCACGGAAAAAATCTGCTAATTCATGTGGTTGTCTCTTAGTCAATATCTTCATGAGGTTCATATCAGTCAATGTCTCATGATATTGTCTATACCCTCATTTTCAATGATTACATCAGCAATCTTTATTGAGCTAGAAAAATATGCTACTCATTTTAGCAATACTCACACCCTCAATTACATTTCAATTGGTGTGCGAAATCACCTGACCTGATCCGCATAGAAGATGGGCGAGATATGTTGGAACAGTTAGTAAAGAGCCTTAATCATCATACCTAATCCTATTATATACTTAATAGTATTCAGGTGGTTATGAAATCTAAATATGTTTTGGCAAATTATTAAACTGTACTTTTAATAATTTCAATAAATGTAACTAATTTTTTTGAAATTCCTATGTTACTTCAAATTCCTATGTTACTGAAAAAAAAAACTCTAATGTGACCTGAATCTAATCGTAGAAATTAGGGGAAACAACAATTTTAAAATAATTCCTAAAAAGGGCATCTTACCATTCCTTCTGGTGCTGTAAGTTGGTATGCACAGTGAACATTATTTGGGTAATTAGAATTCTTTTCAAATCCAGGACTGTATAAAATTCCTGGTCGACGAACGTCTATAACTTTAACTTTTTCTTCTCCACCCGTGAGCCTGTTTATGCATGCTTCTTTCAAATCTATAAAATGTGGAGAAAAAAATTTTTTCTACTCAAAGTAGAACAATTATTTTTTTAATTTTAAATCAGTTATGTTAGATTACATTTTACTCAGTACAAGTTACAGTAACTTAAAATAATTCCCAATCTATGACTCTTTTAAGAACAGTGCCTAAAAATGATTCTTATCATGCACAATCAATTAATTACGAGTCAGAGATTATATTAGTTAGGAAAATTCAGGAAGTTTGAAATACAATTGATAATGGGACAGAAAAGGGTTAGTTTTCTTTTCTCTCATTAGGTACCCTCGCAGTACTTATGTAAACAGTGATAAAAGGATAACTAAATAGCAATCATGCCGATCATTCCGTTTCCGCAACTAGCACATAATCAGAGACAAATTATAAGAGATAAACTACTCCAGCCAAAATAGCTTGAAAAGAAGCGATGTGCCATTGCTATACACTTAGGTCTTATCGCCTTTTCCTACTACTAATGCCCACGATAGTTTTTGTGACATTTTCTCATTCTTATCATAGCAATTAAAGACTCGCACCGTTTATTTGAAATATTAGTAAACAATATTTGGGCTGAATACTCTTAAATATCTATTCTCAAAAGCGTGCAGTTCTAAAATTACCAAAATTTTTTTTGTAATGAAAGTAACTGACGAACATTTACTTTTTACAAGCATCACTAGATGGCGGCACCAGTTACTATAGTAAACAATTCCATAAAGTTTTTAACTCATTGAAATCAAATAATGAAACTCTTTTATTTTTTATCATTGTCACTAGATAGCAGCATCACTAGGAGAAGGTAAGCTCGTTTTAAGTTTTATATACGTTTTTAAAGGGGGAGAGCTGCGTCTTATTTTCTCCTTTTTGACGTCCACCTTGTTATGTATACATATCAGCGCCTCCAGAGAGATATAACTATGAATTATTCTTGTATCGTGAAATCTAATTATTGTCAAATTCGCGATACTTTGCCTAGTTCTGTATGCTTTGCCTTTCTGTATGTTGCATTAATCTATGCATACCAAAACCTAACTCCTAGTCATATACATTAATAATAAATGGCTCATACACTGTAAAAAATTCCGGATCATATTACGACATAAAGTATCTGCACTTTGAGTGTATCATCCATAAAATCCATTTTACTGTAAAATTTATTTGTATCGTGAAATATAGTAAAATTTGCAGTAATATTTATTTAATTAGAGTGATTCAGTGACTTTATGTAATTGTTACTGCTAAAATAATGGTATAACAGATTGATTGTTCCATAACATATTCCAGTTAAAATGGAGTTTACATTAAAAAGTACTGGCACCCTAAATGCCCGTTTTTTTCTCCAGAATTTGATCTGGAATTTTTCTGACTTTAATTACGGTATACGGATATTATCAAGATTTTTCCAGATATATACCCGTGTATAGAATCTAGACAGATACTGTTTATTATACTGTCTACATAAATAGCACCCATGTCATATGTACTGTATACCTTGGACACTGTATATATGATAGATACTGTATATATGACCTTTTACATTAAGTATTATAAACAGGCATTTTTAAAGAATTTAATTAATTAATTTATTAATTCAAGATTTTTAAAAAAAATCACAGGTTGATATGAAATTAAAAAAAACAAACAATACCGTGTTTGAAATGAAAAAAAAAGAATAATTACCGTCAGCACTTGAGTAGCCAATTGCCAACGTGGTAATGAAAATTAGCATCCACATTTTGACAGCAGAAATCAGCGCGTCATGGACAACACTGGCGTGTAAAACATTGTTTTATTCCTAAAAGCAAAATTTGGAATTGTTATCACGCCTGATTACCATTCCAAATGTTAGTTCCCAAGGAAATTGGCCATAATGAACGATAAATTGGAAAATATATGACATATGTTAATAAAAATGAATAAATAAAATTGAAATGTTATTTCCACTACTTTCAAGTAATTTATTTAATCATCAAAATTATCTGTTTAAAAAGTATTTTTTCTAAAAAAAGATTGGGTAGCTACTAGTGCAAATTACTCTAAAAACTATCATTTCTACAATAAAATGTTAAATACTTTTATTCGTGATTTTTGTAGATATTTGTTTAAAATAATTGAATAACCAAATTTCGTGAAATCGGTGATTGCATTCTCTGAATTTCTGACTTGTATCTACAAAGAAGTTTATACCTGTTCTAAAAATACTTAAGTGATGAACTTTAACTGAAATAAGCTAAAAACAATTAGAGTGATAATAAAATGAGCTAAATTGTACTCTATTTTAATAATATTCTTATAGTGGTAATTTTAGATATTAAATTCACTACTAGGGTCGCGTTTATCTCTGTACTGTTTTCGCAAAAAGTATTATAAAAATTAATTTAAATTATGTAAACACAGTCAAAGCCTCCATTTTTACAGAGATATAAAATAGTTTTGATTCCTCTTTGACTGGATGAATCTTAATGGAATTTTTAATATGGTTTAAATAAATTAACAAATCTTTAAATCCTCTCAATTTAATAAGTTCTAAAATTAAAGATCACTTTAATAAATTATTAATTTGTGATTCAATAATTATTTAAATGTATCAATGTAATCATCTTTCAAAAATTATTTCACTCATAAAATGCAAATTGATTACGCTATTTCAATATTTAATAATTAAAATTTAGTATATTAGATTTTCAACACATAATACTAAATTTAAATTTTTGATTACTTAGTATAGTAAATTTAAATCTTGTAATGGATATTTTATTTTTTTAACTACTTAACTTAACTACAACAACTTAAATGTTTTTAATTAGAACTTAAGAATTACATTTTGAAGTTGTATAAATTAATAACATTCCTTTCTGAAAAAGAAATCATGTATTACTTTTTTAGTCAAATATATTTAATGAAAATTTGCCTCAAATCGCAGTATTTTGAGACATTTGTCCGATATGTCGAGACATTTGTCCCGATTAAATGCTTGTTATAAATTCTAATGTTAGACGTAGGGGAAGCTAAATTGAAGTATATTTCTATAGCTGATTATATAGAATGCTATGGATATGAATTGACTAGAATATTAACTTAACAATACTGTTATAGCTAGTTCAAATCTTTTGCTTAAGCTGTTATGCCTGTGATAGTGATTATTTATTATTCTGCGTAATTATAGTTCTTTTGCAAAACTGTATTTTTTTGACTTTGAGGTTTTTATTAGTTAAAATGGTTTTACATTATTATAATATTACCAATTGGTCAATGTGATTAAACGGTTGAACCGGTCAAAATTAATAATAATAGCTTCTTTCGGTGAAAGTACGAAGTAGAAATGCGAAAGAATGACATTGACCAAACTTCATTCGTTATTTTTAATAATAACAGGTTAATGCGATAAATTCGCTTAAATTATTCACTTTAACAGGCTTATTGATCAGCCTATTAATATCAGCCTATATATTGATCAGTCAAATTAATATTTACCGGTTAGTATTAATTATAATCGACTATTTACATTGACCATAACAAACATATGTTATGATATTATTTATTTATTTATTGAGACATATACTATAAATATGTATAAAAATAAATATGTATGAAAAAATAAATAAATATGTATGAAACATATTCGGTTTTTTATTTTTAAATGTTCTATGTCAAAAATAAAAGTGTATGAAACACATGCATTTTTATTGTCATTAAACACATAAACTTTACATGCCGTTGTTTCAACAGCATGTATAAAGTCTCTTATTTTCTGAAATATAAGACACGGAAATAATTTCTGGTTAATGAATAGTTTTTAATTCAAAACTTAAATACTGTAAATGAAAATCCCAACTTAAAAATTTCCATTCTGAAAAGAAGAAAAAAGAAAACCATATTCATGAAATGGAAAAGATGAATAGCTGTTATCTTTGACAGATTCTATTATTCGATGCACTTAGGATAAAACTCTTACAGGAAGAAAGTTGTGTCTGAGAAAATTGAAAGAAGATCCTAAAAATAGGAACTCTTTTCCCTTTTTTGAGAGTTTTTATGACTGCTCTTTTGAAGAACAACGAATTGTATCCTTCCGCGAGTGTCATTGTGAATTTGAGATATATCCTTTTTTTTATGTCTGGAAAGGTACTTCTTCATGAAATAGGAGACTGCAAACTTTCCGTTTCTTTCCTTTCTAAATTCGAATATTAAATATTTCATGTGCAGTCTATGTTATATATTTGAACCGTGTTGTTTCGATTGTTACTATATAAAATTTTACTAAATACAATTCATAAATAATTACAGTTTCCAGAATTCTGTTTTTACCAATTTTTATTAAAATAATTGTTTAATTAATATAAATATTTTTCAATTTCATTTAGCCATATTTAGGGTATGAATCATCCACTGAGGAAAAAAATATTGTCAAAACTACCGGAATATGCTAAAATTTACCGTGTTTCGAGCTCTATTGAACACCAAAAAAGCTTGGTAATTTTATCGAAACGCTATTGTAATGATTTCTGTAAAAATTATGATATAATATCTATATATACACGGCGACAAAAAAAAACCTCATTACAACTCCCCGATACTCTTACACGGCGACAAAAAAAACCTCATTACAACTCCCCGAATGGCAACGCTAAAAAATCGACCTATGATTGCCGCTAAAAATGTCACATGCCAAATCTAGCTGAGATGGCTCAACATATAGCGCTTTTAAAAACGGAAACTGAAATAACCAGAGAGCATCAGCTGCGGCAATCTCATACTATTAAGCTAGGCAGAAGTGAGTAGTCTTTGTCGATAGATCTCTATTTTAGTATTTTGTCGAAAGCGCTTTTTTTCACGAATTTATATATTACGAATTTATTTGACGATTTTTGATTTATATCACGAATTTATTTGTTTTACTAGAATTTATTTGTTTATGCAGGTTTTTCCATTGCAATTCACTTATTTCAATTTTTAATAGACTTAATTATAGCCAAAATTTTAACCTTTTTAAAGAGATATCAGTTTTAGAAATTTTATCTTAAGATTTTATACTATAGCACATTTTTAATAGGTTTAACGAATTACATGTCATTTATTTAAATTCAAATTTATTTTATAAACTTAGTATTTACTAAAAAGATGTAATTTTTTTTTGTTGAAAAAGTTGTTATATGGATTTGAATGACTGTTTTGAATTCTTAGAATTTTGTGCATTTGCAATGTACCTAAGTTAGTAGCGAGCGAAGCGAGCTTAGTTTGCGAATCAAACCATATAAGATTGCGTAGCAATTTTCGGGGGTTGACGAGCGTTAGCGAGCAGGGGGCGCAGTCCACTAGTAATTTTATAATATGTGATATTTTAATCCTGATAACTCAGAGCATGGTATAAAAGAACTTTTATTCGGTTAAATATACTTTCCAGTTTTGCATTTTCACTAAACGTATGGTAATAAGAACTAAAATTTTGAAAATCAGTATATCTGGTAAATCGTTTCCATATGAACTCGTTAAATTACTTGTGGGGACTGTGATCGACAATGTTAACCCTCATCTATGAAAAGGTACCCACCAGAGATTTGAGTTAACATGTGTTATATAGTATTGAATTTGAGCTGAATAAATGTAGTGGTAGATACACTACATAATAAATGGTTTAAATTTCATACATTTTGGTTTTCATCATCAGAATTATGTTATTATTATTGTTATTATTATTACATGCATCTTCTCCATAAAATACGGTAAATTTGCAATGATTTTTTTTCCGTGTATATTTATCACTCCACCAACTGTTCATTTTTTTTTAAAAAACAAATTTTAATGTTTTTGTTATTTTCGAAAACAGTCTGAAACCTTTTTCTTTGTCTTTTCTGACAACTTGAAAGGTTGCATCTAATAATAATTAAATAAAACTTAGTTGAATGAAAAAAGAGAAATTTTGTTTTGCAAATTTTATATTTATTAATTCTCTTTTGTCATTTCCAAAGCCTTTAAATTTTTTCTAAGTTTGAAGAAAACAATCAAATGCAGTTTTTTTTATTCTTTCTTTGAAAAGCCCACACATGGCTTAGTTGATTGGATTACCTAAAAATGAAGTATTTTCCTTACTCTTCATTTTGAATGAAGTCAAGATATATTAGAACTAAAGCATCCTCGAAAATTAAAAGCCTTTCTCCTGGCCTTATAAATAGAAAAAAAAGAAAAAAGAAAAGCTATTCTAGGTATTTTCTTTCTTTCCTTTTTTACAATATTTACGTTCGTAACATTTTCAAATTTTCTGATATTTTTTTTGCTTTGTTACATAATGGGATTAAATATACTTTATGTTGTATCTTTCATGTTGGTTTAATGCGATTTACTTACACTATAAGAGAAAAAAGGCATAAAATTTGATCAGAAGTAGAACTTGAACAAAACTTTGTCTGATGACTTTGAAAATTAAAAATATAAATACATCTTTTTATTCTTAAGTTGTTTAAAAAAGACATTTTACACAAACATTTTTCATTATTTTCAAATAACTCGTTTATTTATATACATTTTCAACGTAATAAAATATATCCAAAGTTTTTTGGATGATAATTTTGCAATTTCATAAATTTTATTAATTATATACTCTGTAAAAAATTCAGGATGAATATTATAATATAACATTCTTTCAGCATTTTAGCACTTTTAGGGAAAACTGAAAATATTTTTGTTTTTAGCTTTTTCAAAAAGTAGGTTAGCAAGACTAAAATCCTTTTTACATATTTTGATTCATTTATTCTGGAGATTACACAGTAAAAAATTCAGGATCAAATTATGGTA